AGCCACTTACAAACACCAGCGCGCAAACAACGAGTTCTGGTCCACCCCCCGCCGCCATCAGAAACTTCAATAATGCCTTCCGCGTCCCTCAATTACCTCCTATTTAATTACGCCGCCGCATAATTAACGTAGCGAGAACACCCTCACCCGACGTGACGTGGCGTAGCCATAGAGGATGATACGTACCGCCCCGTGACGGTCACCCCGATGTAACAAGACTCGGGATCGCAGATCCTTATCGAGCAAATGGAAGTCATCGAGGCGTAACAAAAGTTTAACTTGATATACTTAAAATTAAATAAAAATTTAAATTATACCTTTAAATACGTAAAATTTAGTTGACGTTCTTCCTTATAATTAACTGCTCTTTCAATTAATTATTAATTGTTGATTCTTAATTAAAAGACGATTTATTGAAATCAGACGAACGCAAACGCTGTTCTGTTGAGGAACGAGGTAGACTTAAACCGACGATACGTCATTCGCGTTCTGAAAACGAACGGTCGAGGTAGCGAAGTGCAGTGTACCGCAAGCGCCATTTCTTCAGCAACTAATTCCGGGATCAGGGAAAGCAGAAATTTATTGAGTGTCTGGATGTACACGCGATATACAAGATCGCTATTCTTTCTCGCGCGCGGAATACGACGCGCATGCATTTCTACGCTGTGCAGCTTGGGAAATCGCGCACGCTCGATAAAACTTTCACGGGGGTCTCTCTTTCTCGGTTGCATAATGCACCCCAGAAACGGGCGGTCGGCCGCGCGCGCGCGCGCGCGGCTGTAGCGAGTCAAGGACTTTCTCACGTTTCTTCCGCGGAATCTCTCCACATTTCTCGCGTATCTATGCACGTGTATAATTAACTTGACCTATGCACGCGCAGAAATTAAGATACGTTCGAAACGACGGCGCCTAACACATTCGTGGAGACAAAATACGTGAAAAATTATCTCATATAATCTCTACCGGTTGCAAGAATATTCGCAGAATATTTCATGGTCTCGCAGGGAGAATCTCGCGCGAGAGAGAAGAAGAGATTAATAGACACGATATTTTTTTGAAAAGCGGCGCACCACGACCGAGAAATATCGTTCAAAGCCGATCCATTTGGACCCGCACTAACTGCGTTTACGATCTCACAGACGTAGGTACCGGGGCCAGAGATACCAGCGCGCGGGGTTTCTCGGCTAAACGGCCGTAGCGCGTACCGACGATCAACACGATCGATGGGATGCACGCTATACGCTGCGAGCCGAAGATCGATTAAAAATCGAAGCGCGCGCGTAACGCATTCCGGGAGCGGGTAGCGGTAGCGCAACTGCATTACCCAGGCCTGCCAGCCTCTAGCGGCGCGGGGACGAGAATTAGCGGGGGCGGCCCCGTAACGGGAAACGATTGGCCTTTAATTGCCCACATCTGATCGGAAACGAGCCGCGTTCCCTCCTTCGCCCTTCGCCACTTCGATAGGGCAATGATGAAGGCAACCGGTTAAACGGAAAGCAACGTCGTTACAGTAATACGGCTAATGCCGCTGGAGTTACCGAAAACAAGAACCCTTTTTCGCCTCGCACCGCGCACCCTCGCCAAATTGCCACTCCCGGATAGGCCTCGCAGGAAGTTGCGCAAGCGATGGACTCAGAGCGTCGAGCGTCGACGCAATTCGGAAACTCGCAACGTTATACCTATTTGTAAGGCTGAGTTAAACTCGAAAGGCGAAGAATGCGATAAACTTGATTAGTTCTCTAACTGTACGCGTCAATCAATAAACAATTCAGTTAAATAATTTATGTGTCTGTTTTCATCAATTAATTTCTCACTAAATTATAATGTAGAAAATTGCCTTAACGCATAAACATGCAGATTATTAACGAAACTAAAGTTTCAATTGCGACGAAATAAAAAATATTTTATATATATGTATCCAATTTGTTCACGTGAATAATTAAAACTTTGAAAAGTTTTTTTTTTTTTCAAATACGTGACATTTAAAATGACTTGATGTTTTTTAGGCATTAATCTCGATTGACATCGCCGCGACGTCATTCTATACATTTCGCCGCACGGAAACGAGACCGCTATTCCCCATTCCGCGGAACGAAATTAAGCGGACGCAGAGCACCGCAACGATGTAAAACAACGAGATGTAGCGACAACGCTCGAACCAACATCGCCGTTACCGGCTTGTCCTAATCCCGACTAATCGATACGAAAGTCGCGCGCTTACTCAATGTCACCGACAGGGTCGACGTCGACAGGGAACTTTCGACACAACCGGGGGGGACGCCCTGTTCCCCCATCGCCGTCCTCGTCCTCGTCGGCATCCTCCTGTTTCCTGCGGCGCACAAATTTAGTAAAGTTTCGCTCGCGATGCCGTCGCGTCGTACCCTCCAATTCCCTCCTTCTTCTCCTCATCAACTACGCCGGAATCAGATTGCTTCCGCCGAATCTCCGTTCTTCGAATACTTCGCGGGCGCCGCGACGCGGCGCGGCGCGGCGTCGGCGTCGGCACATCTCTTTGAAGTTCCTACGCGCCACGCTCCTAAGTTAATCTAAGTCCGTCACTATCGGTCCTGTCGATGACTTCCGGAAAGTCTTTCGTCGCGCGGGAGGGTATCTTCCGAAGGGTCTTCAGTAGGGCCGAAGGCCGATGGGGATTGAGAGCGAAGCGAAGAGGAATTAGTGATTTGCAGGCAATAAGAGAGCGCGGAGTTGAGTAATCAGGAAGTTGACGAAGTTTAATGACATCCGATCAATACCAGGTTTTGCAGAGTCGATCGGTCTTAATTCAAATAAAATAAATAGATGTATATAAATAAATATTTATTTATTGTAATAAACATACAATTTATATTATAAAAGTATATTATTTTTACGTTTGGTACGTGTGTGTGTGTGTGTGTGTGTGTGTGTTTATACATACACACGTGCACAAAAATAATATCTTCAAATTTTAATAATAACTTTTTGTACTAGATTTTTAAAAATTTAGAAAAAATTTTTATAATAATATAATTAAATTCTTATGAAAGTTCAAAAATATTTAATACATTATGCAAATGTATTGCTATTTTTTTAAGTTACTAAATATAAAAATCGTAATATCAGAGATATTTACAGAGACATTTATTATCAGAGATTAATATCAGAGATTATTATAAAAAATATATTACTATTTAATGATGTTAATTTCTCGTATATGTACATTTTTCATAATTATAATGTATTACTGATTTGAAAAAAATATTAACATGTCAAAAATTTAAAAAAAAATTTAATAATGTTACAAGTAAATTTTCATGAAAGTTCAAAAATATTTAATATATTACGCAAGTATTGCTATTTTTTAAGTTAATTATATGCTTACAAGCAATTTTCTGAATATGTGCACTAATATATATGTATATTTCAAACAGAATTTTGCAGCAAATTGTAAAAACACTTGACTATCTTTTAAATAGATTTCAATTTTTTTATCTCGCGTCATGATACAGTACTAGTCAAAGGAAAGTAAATAACTAACAAGTAAGTTTGAATTAGAATGCTTTTGCAAAAGATTTTAAATCACATTCATAATCACTAATTTAAATCTATGTCAAAGATCTTTTTAATCTTTCTTTAATCATTAATTAAAGAAATCGTTATTATATTTTTTACATTAAACATTAATCTATTTATTTATATTTGTATGTACATACTTCATATACATGTATACGTATTTCGTGACGAAAGATGACGATAGAGATTCGCATAGAGAGCCGAAAGATGTATATGTACATAGTGATTCCAATTGTAAATTTTACTTTCGATCTTTTTACACGATTGAGAAGTGTCAAATTATCGATCATTGTCGCATGTACATACTTCCAAATCGAACCTCCCTTTATCAGTATCGAGCAGACCACCTAAAAAGGTAATCTGCACCGTTGTCCGGAAAAAGCACTGTCGATGCAAATGGAAAATTGATTGAAGAGTGGTAGCTTAACCGCTTTGATAGACTATCGATCGACGGAACACGCAAAGATACCGTTTTGACCTGGCTACACTCGTAATTGTCTCGCGAGATTGGCATACAATTTCCGTCCCAAAAAAGCGACTCTTCTCCGTCTCTCTCTCTCTCTCTCTCTGTTTCTCTCTCTCTCTCCCACATTCTCTCGCCAACTATTTCGCGATAACGCAACTATTGGACTTTCGAAACTCCGACGCACGCTGTAAATATAGAATTCGACATCATCGTTTCTCGCACCGACGGTGCGTGACTTAATTCGAAATTGCGATTTTAACAAAAATACACGTGTGCATGAGTTTCAAGCTTGTGGAACAAAAATATGATTTTTACACAGAAGACCGACGTCGCGCAATTCGAACGTGTTGTCTCTACATATTGAAAATGTAGCCAAACTTTTTCTCGTGTCAATTACATATATAAAAAATTGTAAATTTATTTTTATATAAATTTCGTAATTTGGAACAATTAAGATCACAAATAGTATAAATCGCTAGCTCCGAGAAATGAAGCCAAGTACCTCAGGAGAGGGGGTAGTAGCCATCTTTATCCAGTAATAGTTTACATTCCAAAACGTCAAAATGTTAACCAATATTATTAAATGTACTAACACTAACACTACTTCATAAAGCACCGTATGTGATTACCGGGTAAATATGCAGGCGTCTGGCTTCAACTCATCTGATACCAAACTATAGCATGTTAGCGATCTATATATTGAAATCTGTGATTAAAACATATACATATAATCATATAATATATATGCATACCTATACATATGTACACATATTTTTGCGTCAGATTTTACCTATTATTGTGAAAATTTTAAATTAAAAATAATGGAGAAAAATATTGAAAAGGGAGATACATGAAAAATTGTGTGCGCGATATAAATTAAATAAGAAATATTAATTACCTAATATTCTATAATTATCGAAGTAATGTACAAGTTGGTACGATTGAATATCATGTCTACTGCCATTCACGTTTCTATGCATTTGTTTTTCTCGATGCGTGGATTACGGATCTCGTACATTACGTAACCTCGATTTATCTTTTCATCGAATGGAAAAACGCAACTGTGAAAATACTGTGAAATTATGTATCAAACCATTAAGTTGCTCTTTCACCTATTGGAAAATGATTCGCAAAAGTATGTTTTGCTATGGATCTTCTGTATTCTCCTCACATACGCTGCGTTATATTTAGTGTGTATCCTCATATGTATAATATATTATCATGCTTGCTTGTTAATATTCTGTGCATACGCATGACATGGCTATATCAAAGATTATCGAAAATGGTAAGCGATAATACGATATATTTTTATAAATTATATAACAGTTATATTTTTTTTAATTTTCTATAACAAAAGATTTTTTTAAATTTTACGTTTTCTCACTAAGATATATAAATTGAAAAATAAAGTATTTGGCTATTAAACACACTGACATAAAGATTGCTCCTAAATCTTTTAAATTAATGTTCGTTTTCTTGTCTTCAATTACGTAGGTCTACAAACACATTACAGCAATATCACACGGAGCGTTCAGACTGTCTCTCAAAAATGTATTTCTCCATTCGCAAGAATTATAACGCGAAACTCGTGCAACATACCAGCCGCTTCTTTCAACGATTGTGCGATGGACTCGAAATGCATCAGGGGCATTTCATAAAAGCATGCTGGATTATATCCGACGAAAAAAAAAACAAGCGTTTGGAAAAATCCATGCCTTTGGCTGCGCTAGCGCATTGTGCATTTAATCTGAAGCGCGCGTATCATAGTTTTTGTCGGCCGGTGAATTCCACCGATGTATCTCCGCGGCGCACGCCAGATTATTCGTCGATTCCCTTTCATTTTCCGTGTACATCCACGTTGGGGAATTAATATGCGATCCCGTATACTTCCCTAATGACGCGATACCCACGTCGTTCTCGAAAGGCGAACCGAACGCAGAGCCAACGCTTTAATTTGGAAATACAAAAAGAAAATCTTGTAAAATTTTTTTTCTGTTAGACAATCAAAGTCATCAGTTTTTAGATAACAATATACAGAAGTATATTGTTATCTTTTTTTAAATAATACATGTAGGATGTAGATCTCGCTGATCTTATGTGCACATCTCCGTAGTTATAAAGTCAAATATATGTATATTAATTCCTTTCTTTACCATCAACTAACTTTCGTAGTTAACTGTACAGTGGCTCAAAATATGTGATTTACAGCAAGATTTTTTTTTCTCCCGTTTGCTTGATTCAGCGATTTCGTTCGATTGTGTAGTACACAGCGAAAAAGATCGACCGCTTAAATTCCCCCTCACGTCCGTTCGTTCGCTTCTACCGTGAGTTAAAGAATAAGTTTGCGAGTTTGCCGGGGGATGAAAAAAAAAGGGGAGGATGAACCGCGGAGGTCGCCGCGGGATTCTCGCCACGTTCGATTCGATTTTTTCCGAAAAGCCAAACACCGAGAGAGCGCGCGTGCGGAGAAGAGGAACTTTTAAATATCGACGTCGCGCTGAATAATTCATCCCGTGTACACTCGCCGGATATTTCACCCCTCGCGAGATTCCGGATTACGGGATAGATTGCTCGGCTCGATCTTGAGATCCCTCCCTTGATGCGCGGAGATTAATTTAATAACGGGGATCGGCGGATGAAGTCGTAAATGAAGTTGAGGAAATTCAGTAGCTAATATCGAAACGCTTTCGTTTGTTGGCGCAAGGATTACGGTACAAGATTTCGTTCATCTTGAAAGTAGTATATAAATCCCCTCTCATAACAACATAATTTCCCGGAACAATTATAAAGTTCAAGGATTTTCTATATAAGGAATTTACATTTATTCGCAAATAAGTAATTTGTTATAAGAATAACATCATCATCATTAATCACTGTTAATGGCATCGATAAGCTGGCTTTGATGTTATTATAGTTAATACTCGAATGTTATGTAAAATAACTATCGCGCTTTTCTCAACGTTGTCCTTATCCCAATATATGTATAACGTTATTTCTAGTCAATAGAAGTCATCTGCGTTATAAAACTGGCAAAAGCAATATTAAAATATATATTTATCTCTCCCTTTCTCTCAGACATTGGTCGTATCTTACTCCGTTCACCCCCAAAACGTTTGTGTCGCGTATGTAAAAGCGCTTTGGCGCGCTCGGTCGGATCGGCGAGGAAAAATTGAAATTTCAAAGAACGGGGACCGTCGCTATACGGTCGATGTAGCCACTCTTGCAACGTCAAAATCGGCGGCGATTCGGGTCACCACGCCTTTCCGATAACATCGACACGCCGGGTGTCGACTGTCGAACGCACGTAGAACCTAAGTTCTACGTTCTGTGATCAAACCGGCGCGGCGCGCCCCGGTGCGATATATAAGCATCGTTTGTGCGTCTGATGGCGAGCAGCACGGGTCGGGCACGCCACACTTGAAAGGGCTTTACAACCCCTCTCTATCCCGTCCGCACTAATTTACCATGCAGGTTTCACGTATACCGCCCTCCTTTCCCTCTTCCGCAAATCCTCCCCCTCCCGTCGATCTGAGGTGCGTTAAGCATACATCACGTTTGTGCGTAGTCCTGTGTGCTCGCGCGCGGACGCTAGTAGCTTCGATTCCGTGGTAATTTCCGGTGGTTCGAACTGGCGGTGCTGCATCGTCATTGTGCAAAGATGAGGGGGAGGGGGCAAAGGGAGGAAGGGGGGGTGGGAAACGGACGATGCAGGAAATAGATAATCATCGGACGTTTAATTACTTCCTAAGCGCTGCGCCAGAATTAAGTCATCACGGGCAGGAGGTTAAGCCAGACACGAGATTTGCGGACGCTATATATATATATATATATATATATATATATACTTAGCGGTTGAATGATGTTATTTGTGTGACTTTTTACGAGCACAAATGGAATGTAAATTATAAAATCGAAGAAATCTGCTAGAAGAACCGTTTCATTGAATGTCATTTATCGCGTCTCTTTTTGCGCTATCGTGAACTGAATTAAACTGTAAAGAGATAATTTGCGTAAAAAAATGTCAAAACGTTAATATCTTCTTTAAAATACTGAGATTTTTGTTCTGAAACTAACTTAGATTGCTTCTTTAAATATTTAATGAGACTGCTACATTTATTGTCGCTTAAAATAACTTTTATAGACAAACTTTTTAGCAATTAAAGAAACTTAACTAGCACATATTAATCCATTTAAAAAATAAAAATAAAAATTTGAAATATTGAAATCTTGAAATGTGCTATTAATGTTCCTTATCTGCATTACAAAAGGATTATTTCCCAGCAATTAAAAGAACACTGTTAAATCTATAGTGTCAAACTGAAACTTATTTAAATCGCCACTGCTTCTATACTTAATAAATAGTTATTTTTTACTAAAATAATGGAGTTAAATAATTTAAAACAGTTCAAATTTAATCCAAATTAAATTCTATTATTTTGTTTAAAAGTAACTATATTATTTTATTTAAAAAAAACTACCTATTAAGTAGGAGCAGTGGCGAGAAATAAGGTTCAATTTGACACTATAGATTTAACTAAAATAGCACAATATTGATTTTTCAGGAAGAAATTGTCTTACAATTAAAAGTTTTTCGAATTCGATCTCGTGCTTTACGTTTCATTTTTTTTTTTTAGGTAACACTTAGTAAGGGAAGGAGGGG